GCTTCGAAACAGAATGAATATATTGAAGGCCGATTTATGTTGAATGTATTCGAACGGTGAAGAATTGTAAAGGTATAAGGATGGTTAATAGTTTTAGTGGTCAACAAATTACTTATTTGCAATTACGGAGTATTAGTCATTTGGTATTTTTTTACGTGGACATGAATTCTAGAATTTGGCCGGGGTGAGTAAAAAAAAAACCTTGAATTATCTAAATCTAAATTTACGAAATGAACAGAGGAAAAAAAATGAAAAAAAAAATGACGTCGTTTGGATTATTAGTCTGCGAAGTGTTGACCAACATGGATAATGGCAAAAAATGTCTCGATGGTATGGAGTATCTGTCCTATATATAGGGTTTATATTAAGGTTTGTGAACGGGTGCCGTTCTTAAAACGTTCGAACACAAACTTACGCTTGGTTTTGTTATGTGTGTGTGCATATATATATATATATATATATATATATATATATATATATATATATATATATATATATATATATATATATATATATTCGTAAACACAATAAGTATAATACAACAACTATTAGAGTTTCGTTAGAGTTATTAATTCTATAGTGCACAAATAATTTGCACTTGTGAACTGTGGAATAGTGAACAATTAGAAAATGTTAAAGACGGGGGATTTTATACAAAAATTATATAGTACAAAATAAACGGCGGCCAATTGTATTAGACCGTACTATATTTCGAGGAGTTTTTTTTTTTTTTTTTTTTTTTTTTTTTTTTGCCGTTGGGCGAATTAGTACTCGTACCTACAAAGATGAAAGTGTTTGGTACCTTTCGAATGCACCGGAAGTTCCAATGGATTGGTGACATCTGTCCGACCCATATATGTTTGTGAACATAATAAATTTACACTACTGGGACGCGTAAGCGCAGTAGAAAACAAGAGATGGAGCCATGTAGTGGCAATAGAATTGGAGAATGAAATTGTAACTTATGCTGATAATGTTAATAACAAAGTAACACTGAACAGGTCAAACGTCTTGTACTCGGTCATCGACTCTAGTTTTTTTTTTTTTTTCAAGAGCTAGCGTCAACGAAAGAATACTACAACGATTCTGAACTGTTAAATGTTACTTTCTTATGATCATCATCAAGAACAGTTTGAATTCCAATCTGACCAATTCCATTCACAGTACATGGTTCTCGCTCTTGCTTTCCCGTGCGCTTATTCATACCAGTAGAGGAAACTTGTTATTTGACTTCCATTACATGGCTCCATTTCTTGCTTTCCATTAGAATGACAAACTTTTACGGTTTGGTTGTTCGGATTGTGGGTGGGTATGGAGAACTGTGGAAAATCGTATCACGTCAGGGGTGCACGCCAAATGACGGTGTATGAATATGAAAGAATCGTTTGGTGGATTGCACATGTTGTGCATGGTCAAGAAGAATGAATACAAGAGCATTGTTTTCATGAACAGTACTGAATTGTTTATGAAGACAATTGTTTTTTGTATATTCCTTTTTTATAGACAATTACGTTCTTCATAAGCATTGATATCTACTTGACGGTAAATATGTTACCGGTAATAATAATATTAGAATAACGGATTGTAACAATAGTTGTATTGCCTTAGTCTCAGTATAGAAAATACAGTGTGTCCCTTGCTAGCTGAGGAGAGCCCCATTTATACTAGAGTCCTAACGGTAACAACATAGGACATAAATGTGGAGCCTAAGCCTTTAATTCTCTTTCATCAATGGGGGCTTCAATGCTGGCTTCAATAACAGTAAAGGTGGCACCTGTTGGAACTCCTAACCGTTGGTGTTTTGCCTGTTGCGTTCCCATGTGATGCTGGGTCAGATGCCCACTTGTGATTCAGGTCGGGTGCCAGCCCTATTATCCTGTCACCAGTCCCCCCTACTCCTGAGTCAACGGATGTGTTTGAGTTGACTTGGGAGTAAGGCTGAATCTATCTTGATCCTGTGCAGAATCCCGCTTGATTTAGGATATGTGATTTTATTTTCTAAATCCCTAATTTGTGCTTTCCAAATCCCTGATTTGTGCTTTCCAAATCCCTGATTTGTGCTTTCCAAATCCTTTCCTGCTTCTAATGATATTCCAATATAAACCCTTGCCTCTGAGCAGTTTGAGAGCACCTCTTCATCAACTTCTGCCCCAACTCTGTAAGTCTCCGCTGTCATTACTATTTTACGATTTATTTATGTATTTAATATATATGCATATACGTACATGTTTGCCTCTTTTTTTTTTTTTGGGGCCGAGGCGCTGTGGCTGAGACGCCTCAGCCCTTCTTTTTTTTTTTTTTTTTTTTTTTTTTTAAATGCTCTTTTCCTGACAGACAGTTTTGTACCCAAGTCTTGCGAGCTTATCTATAACCGATGTGAGGTTAGTGTCTTTCTGCTTATAATGGATATTACGTCCTTGATTGATGTCGGAGAACTTGATTTTAACGGTGATGATGAGGAATACTTTCCTGAGCATGATTCCCATCTTTTTGCAAATTTTCCCCTCTTCCGTTTGTTGTTGACTCGCTCACACCTAGGCCCCAACTGAAAAAGAAGAAAAAGCGTAAGGCCTCATATTCCGCTCTTGATAAGTCCCTCGTACTGTCCATACGGCCTCAACTAGGGTCCCGGGATTGGGAGGATATTAGAGGTCTCCTTAGTCCTGACGTTCTGACTTACCCTCCTAACCCTCAGGGTAATATCTCAGACCCACCCCTCGATAAGTATTTTGGGGTCGACCTTCTGTCGCTACAAGTTGAGCTACGGTTTCCCCTTCATAGGTTTGTGATAGATTTTATGACCACTACGAGATAGCCCCCGGCCAGCTTGTTCCCAACGGTCACCAGGTGATTGCGGGCTTTCTTTCTATATGTCAAGACAAAGGGATAGAACCCACGTTAGATCTTTTCCAGGCTCTTTTCATAGTTGGTAGGGCTTCCCAGGAGGGTAAGGGAATTGTCATGGTTTCGAGCAGGCCGCGTTTCAAACTCTTTGAGGACCGCACTACTTTTAACAAGGATTAGAAACCCAAATTCGTCTTTGTCACCCTTGTGGGTTGTCCGTCTCCCTTTTGTGTCACGTGGGGATCCCATCTACGTTGCCCTCCTACTCTCGACATGAGTCCTTCTCTCAGCCGAGATGTAGATGACCTACTAGGGGATGGTATTTTATCGATCGTTGATTACACTACCGAGTGGAAGCTCGCGGGCTTAGGCTTCGTGAGGACTCAACCTGCTGTTCTTGCACCCACGGGTATTCTTCTGTTACCACTTAGTCTTTATTCATCAACCACTAACTCTAACTTGTCTTCTTTTGTTGCAGGTACCATGTCTTCATCTTCGAGAACCGGTCGATACTTGTTGCGATCACAAGATCCCCCCTCCAAGAAGAGCAAGGTAGAGAAAGATAAAAAGAGCCAGGCTGCGGCCGATGAGGTAATGCCGCTCCCGCCGGCACGCACACCTACTCCATCTAAGGTCGCCGAGGGGTGCGTACGCCTACTCCAACCAAGGTCGCCGAGGGGGTGACACAGCCTCCATCGACTCGCACACCCACGACCGTTACCTTTTCCCCTCAACCCCTTGAGGTGCAAGGAGACACTTCCACTGAGCCCAGCTCGCGTGTTCGGACCAACTTGATCCGACTGGGAGCGGACGTGCCACCGGGAGCGTCGATAATAAATAGAAGTCTTGATGCGCTTGAGTATGCTGCTCGTATCGCTCCTCCTCCGAACTTGGAACACCTCATCGCCATGGATGTCAACATGTTGCAAGAGCGTTATCTTCGACACATTTTTGAGGTCAGTTTTCTCATACTTATGTTCTTTCCTTGCCCCGGCGTATCTTACTCCGTCTGTTACTTTTAGGCCCTGCTAGAGGGACAGATCATTCATGCCCAACGACGGCGGGTGACAGACGCGCTCATTGAGGATGTTGAAAATAAGGATGTGGACAACAAGAGCATGAAGGACCTGCTATCGATCCGGGAAGGGGCTTTGAGCAAAATGGAAGGCGAGCTTGGGGCGCTAAGGAAGGAGCACCAAGCGCTGTTGGCCCGGGAGGAGGCTCTGAGCAAAATGGAGGGCGAGCTTGAGGCTCTAAGGAAAGAGCACGGAGCGCTTAAACTTGCCCTAGGGAAGGAGCGAGAGGACCATGAGAGGACCTGTGCTGACCATGCTAACGTCCTTGGCCGGGCTGTGGAGGCCTACAAGAGTTCAGCCGAGTTCAAAGAGGACGCGATGCACTATATGAGCACTCCTGAGGCTATCCGGGAATTCCTCAAAACTGGAGCTGGTCAAGAGGCGGTCGATTCTGAGGCGCAGGTGGCTTTTAACATTGGGATGTATACAAAGCAACAACAGATTTTTCCAGTGTTGAGGGAGAAGGTTCCAAATTTTGACCCCGTGTCCCTTCGCTTGCTTGTCATAGAGAAGAATCCTGACCCTGATGTCTATAATGAATCCACTGATGATGTTACTGATGCTCGTTAAGATTCTTTGGTAGACGAGTTTCACGGCATCGACACTAGTAACGTCCCCAATGTTCCACTTGATCAGATTGTGATTGAGGACCTTACGGACAACAAGTAGTTCGTAGTCGTACTTGAGATTTTTCCCTTGCTTTCTATCTATATCTTCGAACAATTTGCTGTGATTTTCTATGTTTGAACAATTTGCTTTTCTATGTTCGAACAACTTGTTACTTTTTTGGAATATTCGGAATAAACTTGTTACTTTAAATTTGTTTTTTTTTTTTTTTTTGTTGCCGAGACGGACTTCGGCGTTGGTCAAGGCGTGCATCGGCCAAACCGTGGCCGAGGCGCGCGCATCGGCCATCCGAGTTTTTTTTTAACAACATGGGCGGACCACGAGCACGAGATATTATTTCAGAAAGCTCCGTAAAAGATGATAACGAACTTGCTTTACTAAATAACATGGACGGACCATGGAAATAAGATCTTATTTCAGAGAACTTTAGCATGTAGAGCGGACGGACCGCGATTACCAAGTACTAGTTCCAATGATTACCACTACAGGATATTTAAGGAAATACTTGATCAAATGTTCCGAGTTCCATACCCGATCGATCATCCTTCCCCTTGTCGTTTTTAACTTGTATGTTCCTAGGCGAACGACCTCTTCCACGGCATAAGGCCCATCCCATTTCTTTGCGAATTTTCCCCCTTCCAGGGGTTGGCTAGCTTCCCTTCTTCGCAACACAAGGTCGCCGACTTGGAAATACCGGGGTCGAACTTTTGCGTCGTGGTAGGACTTTTGCTGACGACTGTAGTTCTCCATTTTGCAGAATGCCGCTTCTCTATTTTCATCTAAGAAGTTCAGATCCACCCTTTGGTAGAGTTCATTTTGTTCTGACTCGAACTCCTCCACCCTTCTACTAGGTATGATTACTTCCACTAGGGCCCGAGCTTCGAATCCATAGGCGAGTGCAAACGGGGTTTCTTCGGTATCCCTTCTTGGTGTTGTGCGATAGGCCCAGAGGATGCCGTCGAGTTCCTCCACCCAAGCTCCGCCGGCTACTTCTAGCTTTTTCTTGAGGCCGTCGAGGATGGTTCTGTTCGCATTCTCCACTTGCCCGTTCGCCTGAGGATAAGATACCGCCACCCGGCTATGCTTAACGCCCCATCCTGCTAAGAATTCTGAAAATTCACATGCCTCGAACTGACGACCATTGTCTGTGATTACCTGGAGAGGGATACCGAAACGATACATGATGTTTTTCTCGACAAACCTTTTGCACCTTGCTGCGGTGATGCTCGCCAAGGGCTCGGCCTCCACCCACTTCGTGAAATAGTCGATGGCCACAATGATGTACTTCCTGCTTCCAGTCCCCGTGGGAAGGGATCGCAGTGCTTACCGGGGTGTAATTTGTCACAGGTCGACCTGGTAGTGCCTGGAATTCTTGGCACTTGGGACATCGCTTTGTATACTTGGCGCAGTCCCTAGTAACATGATGCGCCGTGCAATGGTGTACACCCCTTGGTGCGCGGAGCATACCCCCTCGTGGACTTCTTTCATCACCAACTTGGCTTCATCTAGGTATAGACACCTCAGTAACGTGCCGTTGTAGGAGCGTTTGTATAGCTTATCGCCCGAGACGACGTAGCTGGTTGCCCGTAACTTTGTTACCTTTGCGTCTGCCTCATCTTGTGGTAAGGCGCCATCTGCCTTGTATCGCTTGATATGATCAATCCAACATGGCTCCCTAGTCTGCACAGGGAAGACCCACGAAACGTCAATACTTGAAGTCTTGAGGTTTTCTAGCCGAGCGATCTTCCTAATGTGGCTGGGGACTCCGGTACTTAGTTTTGAGAGCATGTCGGCGTCGGCGTTCTGCTCTCTTGGTACCTGGTGTATTTCATATCCCTCAAACTCGCGCAATGTTCTCAGCACCGCGTCTCTGTATTTCTGCATGCTTCCTTCGTTGGCTTCATACTCCCCAGACACCTGGCTGACTACCAGCTTGGAATCGCATCGAATTCGGACCTTTTCAGCTCGTAGTCCTGCCGCCAACCGCAGCCCATTGAGGAGGGCCTCATACTCCGCCTCATTGTTAGATAACTTGAAGTGGAATCGGATGGCATAGTAGACGCGGAATCCCTCCGGAGTGACGAGCATTACGCCGCTGTCGCAACCTTTGTTGTTGGAAGAACCGTCTGTGGACAAAGTCCACCACCCTCCATCTTTAGTTTCTACCTGGTCCGTCACTTCCCAAGCTATGCACTCCACTATAAAGTCTGCAAGAGCTTGGCCTTTGACGGCAGGCCTCGGTTTGAAGTCTATGTCAAACTGACTGAGGTGCATGGCCCACCGTGCCATCCTGGCGGAGCTGTTAGTATTCCGGAGGAAACTCCCCAACGGCTGATGTGAGAGTACATGGATGGGGTGAGCTTGGAAGTAGTGAGCCAACCTTTTTGATGAAGTGACTATGGCAAATACTGTTTTCTCCAACACACTGTACTGGAGCTCCGCGTTGTGTAGGGCTTTACTTATGTAGTAGATGGGACGCTGAGTCCCTCCTTCTTCTTTGACCAGTACGGAGATAATCGCACCCTATGACACGCCCAAATACAAGATTAGGGGTTCACCTGCCTCTGTCTTTGTAAGCAGGGGCGGGGACAACAAGTATTTTTTCAACTCCTCGAAGGCCTTTTGACAGTCTGACGTCCACTCGAACCCTTTGTTCTTTTTCAAGATTTGGAAGAAGGGGAGGGATCGTTCAACCGATTTAGATAGAAAATGGCCTAAGGCTGCAATACGGTCGTTGAGTCTCTGGACTTCCTTTATGGACCGCGGAGGCTCCATGTCAAGGATAGTCCTTACCTTTTCTGGGTTCGGCTCGATGTCGTTCCTAGTGACCATGAAGCCCAAAAATTTGCCCCCATCAATGGCGAAGGTGCATTTTTTTGGGTTCAAGCGCAAATTAAATTTCTTCATAATGGAAAATACCTCGCTGAGATCCTCGACATGGGAGGTGGCCTTGCGACTTTTGACGATCATGTCGTCCACGTATGCTTCCATGTTTCGTCCCAATACCGTCTTGAACAGCTTTGCCACCATGCGAGTGTATGTGGCCCCGACATTCTTCAATCTGAATGGCATGACCAAGTAGCGGAATATCTCCTCGGGAGTGGTGAAGGCGGTCTTATCAGCGTCCTCCTCATGCATGGATATCTGATGGTACCCACGGAAGGCGTCCATGAAGCTCATAAGTTCACATCCTGCCGTCTCATCCACCAATTGATCTATATTGGGTAGTGGAAAACGGTCCATAGGGCATGCCCTATTGAGGTCCATGTAGTCCATGCACATCCTCCACGTTGATCCTTTGGGAGCCAAGACTACGTTGCTCAGGCACTGTGGGTAGTAAATCTCCTTGATGTGCCCTACGTGGAGCAACGCGGTCACCTCCATTTTCACGAACTCTCTTCGTTCTGCCGACATATACCTTTTTCGTTGATGCATTGGTTTTCCGCTGGGGTCGACTGCAAGCTTGTGGGTTATGATGCTTCGATCTATGCCCGGCATGTCCTCTGGCCCCTATGCGAACACCGCGTGGGAACGGCGGATTACATCCACTATCTGGGCCCTTAGCTCCGGGCTTAAGCCTGTGCCGATCTTCACCACTCGGTCTGGTCTGGAGGGATCCAGAACTATATCTTCCGTTTCTGACACGGGCTCGGCGCGGGGCCAGGCCTCTTTTTCTTTGAAAATTTTCTCCGCGATCGTGTGGACCTGTAGGTCCTTACTGCCAATCTTTTTGCATGCCTTCACGTAGCAACTGCGGGCTGCCCGCCGGTCCCCTCTGACGACTCCTATTCCATTGGGAGTAGGGAACTTCATACACAAGTGTTCCACCGATACTATGGCCTTGAGGTCCTCTAGTGCTGGCCTCCCCAGTATGATGTTGTGCGCACAAGTGAGTCTTACCACGATGAACTCCATGTCCAGCTTGAGAATGTTGGGGCGCGTGCCTATCTCCACGGGCAGGGTCACCGACCCTTCTGTTTCCACCGAATCCCCAGTAAACCCAGAGAGTGGAGTTCGTACCTCTTTGAGCTGGCCTCTAGGTAGCCCTAACTTGGTGAAGGCGTCGTAGTACATCACATTAACCAAGCTTCCCGTGTCGACCAAGATGCGATGTATGATCATATCATTGATGTCCATCTTAATCACTAGTGCGTCGCGATGGGGTAAGGGGCCCTCGGGGAAATCCTCGTCAGAGAAAGTGATGACCTCCTGCCTCTGTTTCTTTCCTTTGGGAAGACTCACCACCTCTCCCACATACAACTGTCTGCTCCATTTCTTCATTTCTGTGGGTGTGTCGCCCCCGCAGGTCCACCATAGATAAAGTGTATGATGTGCTTCTTTTGTCGTCTGGGCGCCACGTCGGTTTCCTTCTCGCTATCATCCTGCTCAGATATCTGGCCATGTTCTCTTTTCTTGGCGTTCGAGGTGGACGGCTCAACGCCATCCTCCTTCCTCCAGACATTTTTTGGTGGATTTTTTTATGGATCGTGTTGCGGCTGTTGCTGCTGCTTAGACCGCTTGACAAAATGTCGGAAGTAGCCCTGCTGGATGAGTTCTTCTATTTGTCTCTTCAGCACGTACATTCATCTGTGTCGTGCCCGGGTTGCCTATGGAACCTGCAGTACTTTGTTTGGTCTCCTTTTGGGGAGACCTTCATGCACTCTGGTGGGAACTCCACTATTCCCATCTCCTCAGCCTGTTTTAGGATGACACTGACGGGATGGGTAAGAGGAGTTAGATTACGCAAGGGGACCAGGCGAGGCCGTTCGTGGTCCCGGCCTTTCCCTGCGACCGGGTGGTTCGAGCGTGGTGCCTGGCTGGGCGGACCGGCTTTCCCAGGTTTCCCACTTTTCCTGCCGTCCTCCTCATCTTTCTTCTTCCTGTCGACGTCCTCTACTTCGGCATAGTGGATAGCCGTCCTCATCAAATCTTCGTAAGAACGGGGGTGGTGGGCATTCAACTGCTTGTGAAAATATCCCGATCTCAAGACATGGATAAATATCGGGATCGCCGCCTTGGAGTCGAAATCGTAGACATTATTGACTTCCTTTTTCCATTTGATCAGGAAGTCTTTGAGGCTCTCGCCCCTATCTTGCTTTACTACACAGAGGTGAGAGAAGGGTTTCTTACGATGTATGCTACCGGAGAAGTATGTCAGGAAGCTCTTGGACAACTCCCCAAAATTCTGGATCGACCCGTCCGGGATGGTGTTGAACCAGTCTTGGGTCGTTCCATCCAGGGTGGACAAGAACGCCCGGCACATGATGGCGTCCCCTGCCCCGATCATTACCATAGCAGCCTTGTACCTCGTCATGTGGACACGTGGGTCAGGGGCTCCCGTGTACGCCTTGATGGCGGGTAACCTGAAGTCCCTCGGCAGAGGTACGTCCATGATGTTTGGGGAGAACGGTGTTGCCATCCGTACCTCGGGTTCCGGCGACTGCTCCCGTGCCTCCACCCTTCTTGCTAACTCCTCGATCCTTCCCTGCAGCCTCTCGACCAGGGCCGACTCGTTAGGGTGCCGGCGCAGGGCCGGCTGCCGCTCCTCCATGTGTTGGCGTGGAGCTAGTTCATCGATGTGCCGTCCATCTGAGTGTCGACGCGGAGCTGGTTCCTCGACGTTTCATCCATCCAAGTGTCGGTGTGGAACCCGCTCATCAGCGCGTAGCTCGCCCGCTGAGTGCCGATGCGGAGCCGGGTCATCGACGCGTCGATCCGTCGAGTGCCGACGCGGAGCCGGTTCATCGAAGCGTCGCTCATCCGAGTGTCGACGCAGGGCCGACTCGTCATCGCGAGACTCACCCATCCTTTATATGGGCGACCTTTCCGCTTCTCTTTCCTCGTGTCAGCGAGGGCCTCTAGCGGAGGACCCCTCGCCACGTGACTCTGGCCTTTGCCGAGCGGGCGCCCCGTGTCCCAACCGTTCCAGGGCAGAGCGGGAGGGTCCAGGTTTCCGTCTGGCCGGTCCACTTCTTTGGGTGCCCTCCCCTGGATCCCCTGTCCTTGTGCGACGCCCTGCGTCCCTCGCTACACGGGTTGCGTTCTGGGCATCCACCCTCCGTGGGGATTCTACCTCTATTTCCTGAGGTCGCGGCGGGACCACTTGGCCTTGGAGTCCCACAGCCACCTAATTTAGTGCCGCCGTCACTGCCTGCTGAATGGTCGCTTGGAGGTTCACGACTTAGTTCGCCCCTCCATTGTTGAGTTAGTCTCAGAGGTCCCCTCCATTGTTGATTTGGTCTCGAAGGTCCCCTCCATTGTTGAGTTGGTCTCGAAGGTCCCTGGCCTCCCGTTGTTGAGCTGTTCTCGGAGGTCCCCTCCGCAATTGTTGGTGAGTTGGTCCCGGAGGTCACCTGAGGCATTGCCATTGTTCACGTTGCGGGAACCGTGGGAGCTACGGGACACCATTCTTTCAAGCTTGCTGTTGAAAGAGGAAAAGAGTTGTGTGCCGTTGCCTGCTTGAGTGTTGGACTCAGGCTCTCAATGAAAGCACCAATGACGGTAAATATGTTATCGGTAATAATAATATTAGAATAACGGATTGCAGCAATAGTTGTATTGCCTTAGTCTCAGTATAGAAAATACAGTGTGTCCCTTGCTAGCTGAGGAGAGCTCCATTTATACTAGAGTCCTAACGATAACAACATGGGACATAAATGGGGAGCCTAAGTTTTTAATTCTCTCTCATCAATGGGGGCTTCAATGCTGGCTTCAATGACAGTAAAGGTAGCACCTGTTGGAATTCCTAACCGTTGGCGTTTTGCCCGTTGGGTTCCCATGTGATGCTGGGTCAGATGCCCACTTGTGATTTCAGTCAGGTGTCAGCCCTATTATCCTGTCACTACTGTTCCCAATGACCATTCAATGGTGCATAGTACAGCAAAATCTAAAAACGTTCATTCAAAGGATAAAGCTGTTGCTTTGGTTTATGAGAAAGCTCGGATGTACTAACAATGAAACGACTTTGGATGACGGTCTGTCACAGTGTAACGTGCTGATATATGGTCCGTATTGAATTTGAATTAGGTATAAATTGAATTGGGAATACAAAATGTTTAGAGATTTGGAAATGATATACTCCGTATATCAATCTTAAAAGATACATTATTCATTCAAAATATATAATCCGTTTATCTTATACGGAATATTGTTTATCTTCCGGAACATATTGTGTAGCGGTTCATACAGGAGCTGAAATGTTCCGAAAGATATATTACCGAAAAGCAAATTGTTTTCCGATAACGATTTGTTGCGTCTGAAAATCAAATATTGCTTTTGAATTCAAATAAACATAATACAGAATATTGTTTATTTTCCGGAAGATATTGTCCAGCGGCTCATACAGGAGGTGAAATGTTCCGAAAAAGATATTACCGAAAACGAAATTGTTTTCCGGTTACGATTTGTGTTGTTTGAAAATAAAAAATTGCTTAGCAATTCAAAGTAGCGTGCGACTTTTCAGATTCAAATGTCCACGCAAATATTTGACGACAACAAAATCAAAAATATATAGTTCGTATATCTTATACGGAATATTGTTTATTTTCCAGAAGATATTTTTCAGCGGCTCATACAGGAGGTAAAATGTTCCGAAAAGAAATTTGTTTTCGGTTACGATATGTTGCGTATGAAAAATCAAATATTGCTTATCAATTCAAAGTGGCGCAGGACTTTTCAGAGTCAAATGTCCCGGCAAATATTTGATACAAAATAAAAAATATAGAGTCTCTTATACGGAATATTGTTTATTTTCCGGAACATATAAAACTTAAAATATTGATGATATATGCAATTATGTTATTACTTTATTTCCTGCAAATATTCTATTGCAGTTTTTTTATAAAAATACTATATTTATGATATAAAGTATTGATTATATATGCAATTCTATTATAACTCATTTTTATTAGATCCGACTTTATCTCACATATTGAAACCCATGAAACGATCTCACAAAAAATCGGCTAACATTTTTACGTTCGCGAGATTAGACTTAAATTTATTACTTTGTATTTTTTTTATTTTTTTAAAAAAGGGTAAGTAATTTACTTTTAAGAGTAACAACAATGATTAGTTTTTTTTTTTTTTTTTTTTTTGAATTATTTTGTAGCTTTAAAAAGTCAATAAAGAACCAAGTACATTGTGGTTTAATGACATCATTGTAATTCTTTCAAATTGAAAATCATAGGTTCAAATCTCATCTCAATCAAAGATGTTGGCGTATAGTATAAGTTGGGTTTTAAAAGTTTAAAATATTTGTTGGCCAAGTACTTTGTGATCTAGTAACATCACTATTACTATTCAAAATAGAAGGTCACAGGTTCTAATTACGTTGAATATATACTATATATGTATACGTTAGATTGTAGTTACCAAAAAAAAAATGTTTTGGAAAAACAGAATCAAATAAGCCCTTTAACTTTGTACGAAAAACTAATTAGACTCTTCAACTTTCAAAAGTTACAATTGAACACATTACCTTGTCATTTTGATGTACC